ACTTTGGGTGTAAAAACTGTGTTTTCAACATTTTAATTTTATGGAAGATGTTAGTCAATGAAATATCTTTTATTTTATGCAATATATTGTAAACAAATTAGATGGATTATAACAATATCATTTTATGTAGTATATATGATATTTTATTTTAGTTCTGTCTAGTAGCAATGCTTAATCTTGTGGATTTGATTTAAGCAATCAGTATTTATTATTACTGAAACCAGCACAAATCAACAATTTAATTTTTAGACAGAATTAGATAACCCAACAAATAGGGTATAACGTTTTGCAGGGCTTATCACACCAAGGCCGACTGGAAGAAGGACCAGAATTTTATAAAAAAGGTTTGGTCTTTAATAATCACATATCAAATTTAGGTAAGTATGCAGCCCTGCAAAACGTTATACCCTATTTGTTGGGTTATCTAATTCTGTCTAATTTACAGTCGCGGGCAAAAAGCGTTGTTTATTATTAATTTAATTTTTATTGAACTATAAACGCTAACTAAATCTATAAATTCTGACTTGGATGATTTAACATGATTTCCCTAACTGAATAATAGAGAGTATCTGAAATATATGGTAATCTAATTAATATTATAAAAATTGAAAAGCTTTTAGCCTTATGATGACCATTTAACACATGTGAAAACATTTACTTTTGTAGATTTTTGTATTTCCTGCTGGATTTTGTTTTTTTTTTTATAGTGCTTAATTACATACATCCAGTTTGCATTGTTGAATAGTAGTCTAGGAAACACAAACACATTTTCAATTATCTTGAGATGAAAATGATGCATGAATTTAATTTTCTCAGCATGGCTGCTGACATTGAAAACTTCAAGAGAACATGAGAAAAGATGAACAATTAGTAGAGTATATACATTTCAGGCAACAAATATATGAAATACCACATTTGTTATTTTAAGAAACAACATTTTATTACTTCTGTTTTTTAATATTTCCTCTTCTTTAGATAGTATCTTGATTTGTTACTTGAGACAAGATGATGAGCAAGTCCATTCACAAAGTAAAAAAAAGAAATGTTAACTAGAACAATGATTGAACAGTTATAATTTAACTGATTCTCAGAGAATCAGTTAAATTATAACTGTTCCTCAGAGAAGCAGTTAAATTTAACTGATTCTCCAAAACATTTCCCTTTTAAAATTTGCAGTGAGTGAGCCAGTTTACTAAGTAAGTGGAATTTGAGATTTTGGCAAGAGAAATAGATTGTTCTGAAGATCATTTAGAAACCCTTCTATATCCCTCAGATAATATTGTGGTTTTCAAGAGCGACAACGTAACTAATTCTTGATCTAATAAAATATATAATGTTATCTTGTTGAGTAAAAGCAGGAGAAATACTTCATACTAAGAGTCTGGAGAATTTCAAGATTTTTGTCAAATCCTGGAGAATCCATGAGAGCTGGTAACCCTAGTTGAAGTACTATTTTATTTGAATTTAATTATATTGAAGCAATAATTGGTTGAAGGAACAAATTTATTGAGAATTATGTTTTATATTAATTTAAATGTAACATTTCTTCAAGGGATTCAACTTCATAATGTGTTCAAATTCTAAAAAAATCTACTTTTTATAGAAGTCAAAACTTCATTCAGATCTGAAGATGATGAGCAATCTGTAAACAATTTGAAATATAGCAACTTCAAAAAGTGCTTACTTTTTTGAGTTGCTCTACTTCAGATTGTTTAATCCAGAATTAAAGTTTGACTTCTATAAAATTTAAATGGATTTTTTAAAATTTAATATTAAAGAGATCTATATGTTGATTATTTCATCCTGGGATTATTGGATCTCTTTAAAAGACAGAAGGAATCTGTGGTATAGGTCTATGGGTGGAGTTCAGGAATTCCATGAAATGCAAGCTTGTTTTGGAAATAAGTATCTAAAAGTAAAGATAAAATAAAAAATTTAGAAAACATAAATTTAAAATAATTATTCTTTTGATGCCAATTACTATTGGATCTTATCCTATTGTTAAAACTTATCTATTTTGAGGCTTAGAGGGGGATGAGTATAAATCTGTAAATGTATAAATTAGTTATTTTGTTGTCATTATATACTGTTTTGATGTTTATCTGGCAATATAAATTTTAGTCATAATTATTGATTTACTTTGTATGAAGTGTCATTGCTGTGTACAAGGTAATCATACAAAAGTGTAATCTTGATGTCATATAATATCCTGAAAACAAAGTTGATATTACCACTTTGGATGCAGTCTACATGATAAGAAGCTTGAGTCATTTTCTAAAAGAACAAAAATATGTATCAGATGGCATATTGGAACACTATGATACAGTTCAGTAATTTATGGAGAAAATTTTAATCACAGCATTTCACTCTATATTTTGTTGAGCAGAGCATATCTGTGTTACTTGACAACCAATGTCCAGTCAATGGAAATTGATTTCATCAAAAATGTAACAAGTTCCTTCGGCTTCCCACACCAATTAATTTGTAATCGCAATTTCAGCATTCTTTGCAGGATTTGTACACCAGCAAAAATTCAGACAAGCCTGATGAGATAAAACCCAATTAAAAATCTCCCAATAACTTGAATGAACTCTGCCAGATTGTTATGGAAACATCTCAAAAACCAAAAAGTCAAAATTATGATGATTCTCCCATCTATCATCTATGACCTAATCAGAAATGAAAAAGATATTATTCCAAAATAGGCTATCAACTGATGTATACAAAATTCCACTGATGATGAACAAAATGAAAATCTGTTTTTAAAAGGTGACCAACTTTTTTACAATGAAAAGGAGGACACAAATAAATTGAAGAAAAAAATATCACATCACACATCACAATAAACACATCACATGCAATGGAATTGCTCGGTATCAATTGAATTTGGAGATTTACAGATTAGTCTTCAAATATCGAAAAGGAGGACATGTAGGAGGACATTTTTTGAGGGAAGACACAACTTACTAAAGAAAGACTGTCCTCCCTAAAGGAGGACAATTAGTCACCTTAGTTTTTATGTTGGCACTACATATTGCACACTCAAGGTTAGACTCTCTGAACATAGAGAGAATATTAGGAAAGCATGTGTTGTATATCCATGGCCTTAGTCAAAGAATTCATCTCCAACAGGAATGTCACACCTATTTGATGAGACATTGAGATTATGATAACCATCACTAAAAATCTACCTATCTGGATCAGTGGCACACTCAGGATTTAATCTTGGGAGAGCCAAGTTGAACTGTTTAAAATATTTTTAATGAGAATTCAATTAAATTTTCACCTAATATGACTACTAATTAATAAATGGTATAGAAATAGAAGATATGACACTATAAAAATAAAGAATTTTAATTAGGAAAATAGTTTTGTAAAATTTTCTAGTATTTTACCCTCTTTCTTTGGGGTACCAGAGCTCTTGTTCTACTTCTGAGTATGCCACTGATCTGGACTGACAAAGAACTTAATATTGCAATCTCTGTGTAGTCTCTCCTAAACAAAAGAAGAGAAAATTCATCTAAATCTATGGACATGATTGATAAACTCTGTGAAGCAGCACTAGAACTATGATCCACCTGGTCAGAAAGTTTAATCCCCTCATAAGATTATAAAAAGCCACATTCTGGTATGATGTTTAAAGAAGTATACCTGCTCTGTCTGATGTTTGTTTATTTTTTCTTTTATTTCAATTTTAGTTTTTTTTTTACTTTAATCAGTTCTGGATGTTTATTATTACTTATTTCATTTTATTTCTTCCTATTTTACATTTTATTTTATTTTATTTTTTGGATGTTTTATAATTCTTTATACATTTAAACAATTTGTTGGAAATTTCCAAACACTCAAGGCTTAGAATGCCTCTTCAACATTTTTGTTCCAATTTCTGTAGGATCTGATAATGGAATGTGCACTCCCAAAAAAGTTTAATCTAAAAAAAAAAATAAAATAAAACTTCTTTAGTGATTTTAGCTTTCCATTATTTTTTTACATTATTTGTGTAACCTTGTTATTAAGAAAGTTCTTCAAATCTAACTAAATCCATTTCAAACTGCTTTACATAGAAGGAAAATCTTTTATAAAACTCAAGTGTTCTGAGATTATACATTTATTATCAGGCGTCAATAAGAGAACTAAAGATTAAGAGAAGATACCAGAACATTACTTAACAACAGCATTCTAGGCCAAGACGAACATAAATAAATAATAATAATAAAGGATGCTCTTTTAAATAAATAAAAGAGAGACACTTTTTCCTGTTTGTTTTGTTTAAATGACTAGAATGATGTTTCTTTATCTTTTTTGCTTTTATTTTAATGAGGTTTGTGGCAGACACTACCTCTCTCATTGTGACTATCATAACCACAGGCAGTGAACTATGGGTGGAATGAATTATCACCCTCTCTAAAATAGATCTGAATAACCACTTGTTTTCACTGAATGATTTGATCGCCAATGAATTCAGCTGTATAGTTTTATAATGAAGGTAATAAACTTAGTAGTTTATCGTTCATTTGTTGTGAAACCGTGTTGTACTAGATTTTCTTTAGAAGTGTTGAACACGAGATTGTGTTATTAACCAATTACATGGCTTCTTAAATAAAGATGGAAAAGAAGCCATGTGATTGATTAATAACACAATCTCGTGTTCAACACTTCTAAAGAAACTTAGTAGTTGTTTTTTTTTTTGTTTAACCTTGTCTCTCGAGTTATTATGTGCAGTGACAGAAGAAAGCCTTTGTGGAACAACAACAAGTTAATTAGTAGTTATGTTGTATTTTCTCTTAATATTTTTTTTCTTATTTATTTCTAATTATGAACATACAGCTTAAAAATGCTTGAAACTTTTAAAAATATTTTTTTTGCTCCAAGAAAAGCAATTTTTATTGAATTATTTCTTTAGTTAAATAAATGAACTTTCATTAATTATATGTTTATTATTATTAAATAAATGAAAGTTTAATATAAACTTTCATTTATTATATTAAACTGATATAATAATGTCTTTGTAAATATAAAGTTCTTGCATGACTTGATATTTAACAGTCATACTATTTACAAAAATTAATAGGATTCGGTCAGTAAAAAATATAACAAATTGGGGAAAAGATAATGAAACAGTAACATTTGATGAAACAGTTTCATATCATTTTGAAGAAAAATTATCAAAAGGAAAAGAAACAGATGAAGTGTATCTACTAAATCTGCCTGCAGTGGTAAGTAATATTATTTATTTAAATAGTTATTTCTAATTTATCTTAACATTATTATTTATTTATTAACTGGAATAAGTAAATAAAGGAAATTTATATAAGTTTTAAAGGTTAAAAATCTTTTATAAGTAAATTAAAGAAATTCTGAATAAAAATTTATTTATTTTATTTAAGCAAACTTTTTGTTTTTCTTCTCATTTTCTATTGATGACAGCTTTGACATCCTATATTGATGCAAATCATTTTCAAATGCAAGAAGTTTGATAACTACTTATTATTGAAATTTGATTTTCATTTTTTTAGCATCATTGAAAATCCAACTTCACAGATGTATGAAGATGTGAAAGAGAGCATACTTTCAAAACTTCAGTAGAAGGAGTTGGATAAGTTTGGATAGTCAAAACTGCATTAATTTTTTACAGTTGAGATTCATTTTTAATGAAATGTCTTTGGACATATTAATGAGTTCTTTGTTGGCTTTTGTTTTTGTTGTATTCTAGTTGTCATATTGCTCTGAAATCATTTCTTAATCAGTTCTTTTGCTGACAGTTTTTTATCTTCTCAAGGAAGAAACAATCAAAATTTTCTTTTGATACAAAACCAGCTGATTGTATAATCTCTGCAATCTTCATACATTTGAAGATTGCTGAGATTATATAATCAGCTGGTTTCACCAGTGCCTGATTTAAAGTTATGAGCACTGCAGATTGCACTCTTTATTGAAATATTTTCACCCTAATGTAATTTTTTCTTTATTTTTGTAATAGGAAAGTATACAATTTTAGTGGAATTAATTCTGGTAAACTGTTGCAAAACAACATCTCTACTTCTTTATCAACACAATATTTTTCTTTAACAAACTGAAATAAAAAGAAAAAAGATTAAACAAAAAATATGCCTAGAATTGGTGTGTCTTAGGCTATAGCCTAGTTAGCCTGTCTGGTAATCATGTGGTGGATTTCATCTCAGTTTTGATTACAGAGATTTCAAATGTTTCAAAACAGTCAAACTTGCATTTTTCAATAATCTTTAGAAGTATTTTTGATCAAATAATGTATTTTGTTGTAAAGTGCAACTATATCAGCTCCCTTTATTCTTTGTAAGTAACAAATTCAGTTTATTTAATTTCGAAAATATATGAGCTTCAGAACAAACTCAATGTTGCACAACAATTCTGCAAAATAACTTTTCTTGTTCAGAAACATTAACACTTCATCATAAAATTCCACAAGTCTTGTCAGCACTTTCCTCCTTAAAAACTGTGCTTTGATGTGCAGAAATGATTTATGGAGATGATTATTATCTTGCACAGCTGTTCAAATAAGCATGATTGCCATAGCCTCAGCTTGGTTGAGTTTACTATTTTAATTTTCCTGGCAGTTATATATATAACAGAGGGAAAGTATGGCAATCAGTTAAAAAACCACCATGATTTTTACATTTTTGGATTTGGAATGTTGAAACATCAAGAAATGCATAGAACTGTGGGGGTAATTTCTTTATGTATGGATGTGTTTGTGGGAGGCCAATTTTGCTTACTCTCTTTGAAGCTTAATAACACTTGTGATTTTTGTCGAAAATTTCTGAAATTTTGCAGGAAGTTTGTTTATTAGAGGGCTTGATGCTATTAAATTTTGGTGATTAAAGGGCAAGGGGGTGGGGAGATAAAGGAGGTTGTGTGTATCTCCAGTACGGTCAGACTTGATGATTTTACTCACTATTAGCATTTACAATTTTTTATAATACCCATTCTTACCCTCAATATTAAGCTTTTTGCCACTTTATAATNCATTATATAGAATGTCTATATTAAAGTGTACCACTTTAGACCACTCTGTAGTCAAAACTGTTAGAGATATCTCAATAAAATTTTGTAGGCACATATATCTTGAAACAGGAAAACTATGGTTAGAGTTTCAAAAATGCCTGCAATTTTTACCTCTAGAAGTCGATAACATCACCACTGTTGCAGTAGCATTAAAGTGTTTAGCATGTTTCTGCCACTCTCAGTCACATATTGCAGTTGAGTTATTACATTAATGACAGCTGAATGTAAAATGTTAGGACTAATGAGACTTGCTTCCCTTTCAATTTGCTTATTTAGTTCTCATAAAACTGCAAGTTACACCTATATAAATCCTAATTTTCAAATAGTCCCATTACCAGAAGTCACAAAGCTTGAGATCAGGTGAATGCACAGGCTGTTACATGGAAAAACTGACTGATTATCCTTTCATTGCCAAACATGTTAGACAGTACATCTCTCTCAATGACTGTGGTGTGGGATCTTGCACCTTCTTGCATAAATATGATGTTACTCAAACATCCTCTCATCTGTAGTTTCGGGATGGCAAAAGTTTACAGAATGTCTTTATAGCACTGCTGTTTTGATTCTGTGACAGTAGTGCTGTTATATACCGTAATAATGAAAATTGTAATTATTTTTTAAAAATCTCCATAGTTTTCCCATGTCAATGTAGAGATAAATATGCCTACAAAATTTTATTGATCTATCTCTAACAGTTTTTATTTATCTATCTATCTATCTATCTCTTGCTTAATAATAACTTTCCACAAACCAATTAGGTCATAAAAACAGAAATCTACTATATTGAAATACCATAGTATAAATAAAAACTGATTGTGACTTCACTATCAATAGTTAAACTATTAAATTCTGTAATTCAAATGTTTAGTAATTCTTTGAATATTTGAATTACTGAATTTAANTTTAATCTATTCATGGATATTGTACTGCAGCAGTATATTGTTTCATATTTATGAGATAGTTTTTTATAAATTTCAAAATTTTTTATTCTTTCTGATTTTGAAAGTTAGATATAAATACTGTTTGTTGATACAATTGATACCTGCTGATAGAAGTGTCATCAATCAAGTTTGATTGATTATTATCTTGTTTGTTTAATGTTAACAAGCCCTGACATTTGAAATCGCTTTGTAGACATACGAGTATATATTCCGAATGTAGGTCAATGGTGCCTGTTTGTGTGCACTTTGAGGCTCTAATACTCAAAGAAAATTTGGTGGATGCAGTGCAGTTTTCTTAGTGGATGCTGGATGAATTGTGATTTATCATTATGATGAATCCAGATGTAGCAGAACAATCTGTATTGTGCTGGCCATGTAAAAAGAAAGTAAAAACACATTGAGTGCAGTATTAATTGTTAATGCCGCACTCAATGTGTTTTTACTTTCTTTTTATATGATATTTGGTGTGAGGTTTAAGCTATACTGTGCTGGTCATGTTTAGTGTGCATATGATTTTTTTTGGTAAATTTCCAAGACAGGTCCATAGGAACAGGTCTAGCTGGACAGACCACTTTTTGCTTCAACCATTACAAATACAATTCTAATTCCAAATCATTTGCTAGCATGCAGCAGATTCCAACCAATAGATGTTTTCATAGTGGAAAGGGTTATTCCTAATGTACTATATTCCTCTCCCTCACCAACATACATATCTATACCCAGGACATGTGTGTTGCTACACACAGCAACACAAATGTTGAAGTGAAATTATAACTGTTGAAAGTGAAATCTTTATAAAGAAACTAAGAGACCCTAGTCATAATCATGGCCATGCTGTCTCTTTTTTTGGGTCTGACCACTTTCCCCTTCCTGTAGTCCTGCATGATGTTCCATTCAATATATTTATTTATTTTTTCACAATTTGTGTAGTCTGCATGAGGATTAGCCATTTTGTTAGCAGCTTCTAAAGATTTGAAAGGCAGGAATTGAAGGATGAACTCTGTTCTTGAATTATTATTGTTTACTTTCCAAACATACTTCTAAAACTAATGTTAGATAGCATTAGGATTTTTTAAGTGTATCATATGTAAAGTGTTATTTATAAATATCTTACTTAATAGTAAAATTAAAGTTTATTCTCAATATGCAGTTGATTACCAAAATGTAAGTCAAACATATAACCTGAGCATTTACAAGAATTATGAAAATTCAGTGCTACCAGCTTAGATACTATAATTAATTTGTAAAAAGGCCTGCAAATTGATTAAATTCAACATGTTTTGCTTATTAATGTTTAAATGATAACATTTTTACAATCTGGGTTTTCCAGATTAATATTGATTTAACGAAGTTAAATGAAAACATACAGTCAATTCTTGTTACATCCCTAATAATCTAAAAGTTAGGTTTTTAGTAAAATCTTATAACAGCAGGAAAAGTTTTGCAACTCATTGTTGGATATTGTTTTCTATTTTAAGATTTTATGTTACATAATGTGAATGATAATTGTACAGTAGTTATATAGCTTGTAAACACTAGCAATGAAAAGTAAACAAAACAACTGAAACCAATTTTCAGCACAAATTTATCAGAAAGCAAACGTTTTTGACTGTATGTTGGTTGGTTTTGGAATTGGTTTCAGTGGTTTTGTTTATTAATTGTATCTAGTTTTGAGATGTTGATTACTATCAATGAAAATATTCATTTTTGATTATAAAGAATTATAAACATCTGCATAACTTTATTCGTCTTATTAGAAATTTATGCAGAATTATTTTGTAAAACATACTCATTGCCTTCAAATTTTCTTGATTAAACAAGAAATAGTTATATTTGTTCTATATTTAATTTAGTAAACTATTTATTTTTGATTTCTTTTTTAGTTAATTGGTTTTACTCTTCAAATGGCTTTTACTCTACAGTTGAATATAGTTGTCAAACAATCAGATAATCTCTGGTAAGTCTAAAAATTGAATTTTTTTCAAATAAAATTTTTACAATCTCAATATAACTTTTAATTTTATTTAAGGTATCTTAGAAAAATGAATGAAACAGTTTTTCCAGTTGCATGGTTTACACAGGTTTGTTTCAAAACATTAAAATGTTTTATAAGGAAATAATAAAAGAATCCAATTTATAGTAAAATCATCAAATGAAACAGAAAAGTAACACGAAAAACTCAATGGATTTGCTTTTAGCTAATAAAATTTAATTATATTATTACATAATTAACGAGTTTAATAATTACAGTAAAACCTGTCAATTTGGCCAACCCCATATTTTGAACACTTTCATATGTAACCTGACAAATATCTTTACTTTTACATGTACTGTATATGATACTCTATATCTTGGACACCTTTCTATCTTGAATTTTGGACATCTTTTCTGATTTAAGTTGACATATTCACAAATTTTTCTTTCTAATTTTTAACTGTTGAGTTATCCTGTACAGATGTCCTGTTTTAAGGTCTTATAAATTAAAAGCTAATAAGGAAACATGACAAACTTCATGGATGTCTGCGGAATATTTTCTAGGGGAAGAAGCTTGGAGACAAATAATTATGTCGTTAAATTTTTATTTTATTTATTATTATTTTTGGTTTGTTTCACAAGTACATTGTAGAATATAGTACTGTGTCAAAGTGTCTCATAATCAAGGGTATAAGTGTACATATCTCAATCACTTTTATGATTATAATTTATAGAATTTTTTTATTTGACGTTAGGAAAGGACGAGTATCCCTTTGCCTCCTTGTAGATGCTCATGACAAATACCTTTTGTATGGCATTTGGGAAGATTTTCACATTTCTGATCACAATAGTATAAGGCATCATTTCTTCCTAGAGATCAGGGCTGCCATTTTAGATTATGTACCATATTGGTTACTTCAACATCAATTTTTGCACCCAAAAAATTATGCTGGCTATAAATTTGGCTATAAATTTAGCTCTGGAGAAAAAAATGATGGCTTTTGTTCATTGCTAATTGGTATTCATGGTTATAAATATGATTTGCATTTTAATGCATTTCTGAATCTACATCACAGTGTAGTACATATAATTGTAAATTGAGTGTAAATTGCACATATATTTGGGATCAATTTTGGGTTCTCCAGGTTATCTGCCTTAGCTATCAAACCATCATGTGAGCATTGCCCACCAATGGTCATTTGGATAAAATCACTGAACACTGGACCAACTTTTCATGGGTTCACTCCCTATTAACAGACTGGAGTGTGAAGTTTCTCAGGTTTTTTTCTCATGTCTAACATCTAAATAGAGGCCAATTTCCTATAGAAGATTTTTCCAGGAAAGATTTTCCTTGGCAGATTGTCCATGTGTGTTGCATTGCCATATCTCATTAAATCAGTTATGTAACTATTAGTCCTTTTCAAAATACACTATAATGATTTAAAAGTGTGTTAAAATAAAGCTAAAGCAAGATTAAATGATTGTGATTGTGATTGTGACTGTGTTCATGTTTAAAATGTTAATACTGTACAGTATCGAAAGAAAAATTAATTTGATAATGTTATTCATTCAACAGAAGCATATTAGAAGATTTACACTATGCCAGCAAACTTAGATTAATTTCCTTGCTTTCAAGACAAAAACTACTCATTCTGTATGCATGTATCTAAATTGGACACATTCTTATGAACCAAGGGTGTCCAACGAAAGAGGTTTTACTGTTTATTGATACAAAGAAATATAATAAAATTTTAATGAATTTCATAGCGTCATAATAATTTTTAGGTTGAATATAATTAGCATTGTTTAGTTATATTTAGCTTGAATTTTGAGGAAGAAGAAGCTTATTAATACATGACTGCTGAAAGCTGGTTAATATGTAAAATCCAACCAACTCAATAACCTAAAACCAGCAAAATTTCACTTACTAGTCAAGCAAACATTTTCATTCAATTGAAAGTGGTTGAAAATATTTGACTAATAAGCAAAATTTTGCTTGGTTTTTGGGTATGGCGTTGTCTTTTAAAGTTTATTAATTTCTTTCTTCATGTTTTAACATTTGATATATTGAATATAATGTATGAAAAAATAATTTGAAATGACCTTTTTATTTGAAAAACATTGAGTTATTTTAAATTGTTTGTTTCATAATTTTATTATAGGCCTATAAGGATCCAAACAAAAAGAATTTTCTCTGATTATAATTATTATCAGTTACAGTAGTAAACTAATTGGAAGCAAGAAGGTTCATGGGTCGTGCAGAGTGGTCGATATAACATTATAGGGAGGTCGATTATCAAGCTTAAGCTAAGGATAAGGGAAAGCTAAGGATCAAGCTTATCCGTCTCACTGATTGTCAGTTACAAAAATTATTATTAACAATTATAAATAAATGAAAATAATGCAAAATTAAAAGAAATGTATTAATAGTAAGTGCTTTTTTTGCTTGTAATACGAACTTTTTGGTGGGGATCAATGTGAGGTTTCGAAAACTTGTAGGGGGTCGATGATCAAAAAAGTTTGGTGACCCTTGGCTTAGTAATCAAATTGTTCATAAAATCAATGTTCAAATTCTACTAAAAGTATACTCACAACTATATTACTTTATACAAAGTTATATTTTTAACCTCTTATTAAATTTAAACAAATCACAAAAGTTTGGGTTTGAGTTATTGCGCAACATTCTTATGTACTCTCCATACATATCATTTCCACAGTTACAAAACATATGAAAGTACCATTCACTATACCTACATAGCTGATTACAGATTGTACATGCAGGAGTGCCTCTACTTGATATAACACAATTTAACCTAAGCCTTGCTATCTATTTCTTCTCCACAATAGAGTATCTAATATCTGTTAGATAACCTGCCATGCCAAAATTGGGCTTTACAATACTGTAATATCTTAACAACCCAGAATTGATCAAAACTCTCCTCATCTCCTGTAACTCAATTCTATACATCTCATTACTATGGTTGGAATTTACTCCTTCCATCTGTCAGCCTGTTTCTCGCTAACAATCTCACTGAATCCCAACTACTCCAACCAATTTTTAAAGTTTGTCCACCAAGAGCTGCTTTCCACTTTTGTCCACATTCTTACCATACTAATTATAGGTAGCCTAACTTCAGGTAATTCCAGTATTCATGTAATACTTTAAAACAGCTTTTATAAAAAAGATTCTCAGTGGTACCTGTCCAGTTTCCCATAAAACAGCAACATTCGATGCACGAAATCTCAATTGCAGCATTTTCTTCAAAAAATCTCTATGAATTAGCTCAGAGGTATTGACATTCCCCAGATCCCAAACCTGAAAAAAAAGATTTAACTGTCAAATCAAATAATCTGAGGTGTGGGGAACATGAGGATACCTTGAGATATTAAATATTTTACATAACTTCACCAAAGCAAAGAATGTAGAGATCACAAAAAGGGGGAAACTGCCTCTCCTTAGCGCATTGACACAGTATGTGTGTTGTCTAACTGAGTGTGGTGACACTATGTATGTCATGTCCTTCAAGACTAGGGATTATATTAATCTTCGTCTTTCAATCAATCATTCTGATTGGTCAATCTCCATCTGCACTTTCCGACTGGTTGGTCCTTCGATACTAAGTGTAATGGGATCCCAACTTGGAGCATGGGAAAGGTCAAACTTAAAGCTGAATTCGATCTCCCAACCAGAGATGGTCGATCATAGGACTACATTCCTTTTAAAATTTACAACTCTGCATCACATTTAAATGTAAACAAAATTATGTCTGACTATAAACATTTCTTTTTCCTTGCTGTTTAAAACAAATAATTTTTTCTAAATCAACTAAATTTTCACAAATTTCTTGATGGTTCGGACTTGTTTGGGACCTCACATTTATACATGGAAATATCTTATTCCTGGCTTACATTTGGGATTTCTCAAGAATAGGAAAATTTCTCAAGAAGAAAAACCTAACTTATGATTATAACTCAAGATCAATTGCTAAAATGAAAAATTATAAAAAGTATATTTTAAAGAATATAATATTTGCTGGTATAGATGATGATATATAATTATGAAATAATAGCATATTGTAAAATTAGTGGTAAACACATATTGTATATCACTTAGGAAAGGCACTAAATAAAGGCAGTTTTTGCCTATTTACTGTACACAATGATAATAATAACTATAGCCAAATTATGATTACATTGAGTGAAGTATATAGCATTAAACAAATGATATGATTACAATAAATGGATTCTACTGTTTTTAAATATTTTCTTCCTAATTGTATTTAATATTAAAATTTTAACAAATTGGAACATAAGTTATAATTGAAGGGGTAAGTGGACAAGTGGTACAAGTGACAAAAAATTTTTCTTTATTTAAAGTATAAAAAAGTATTAATTTAAATAAAAAAAAGATAATAAATGTCATTAATATTTAAGTAAATGTGTCTATTTATTTATTTAATTTAATAAAATATGATTTTTTAACCAATGTTAAATTTTATCACTAATATATTCAGGTTATGTGTTTTGTTACTTGAACCACTTTTCTACCGAACCCCTCAATTGTGTTTATGAACAATTACCGGTACATTTTTGTGTAACTGATATATATGCTATTAGTTCAGTATCCATGATACAGATGTATAACAACAACAAAAATATTACAGAAATCTTGAAAATAAAATTACTTTTGTCTTTATTTCTTAGGTATCTTCAAACCAACACATTTGTTCTAATATTGTGCCAATAAATTTTATATTTAAATTATAAATAAAATTTATAATAATATTATATCTAATATTTGCATAATTTTATTTCCTATATTGCTTTGCTCTTAATATTAGACAGCTGATTTACCAGAAGATTTTGCAAAAGAAGTTTATGACATGATTATGACACCACAAATATATGGAAAATATGCAGTGATGCTTGTGATAGGACTTGGAATTATGGGAATATCTTCAGCAATACTTAATAATATATATCCAATGATAAAGGTAAATCAATATATATTTTAATTACAACTATTTAAAATTTTAAAGTTTAATCTTAAATGAGAAAACTAGCAAAGAAAAACTTAAAAGTAGAACATAATTACAAGGAAACTACTGTATATACTTCTGTATATGCAGGTACCTTCTTGAAATAATAGACTTCATTAAGCTTAATAACTGACAAACAAATATATCTTAAATGGGATCTTAAAACCTGTAATCTTGCAAACAAGAAAGAAAGCTTTAATTAACTATTTCACTAGATTTATTAATATTATGGTACAAACTGATCTGGAAAGTTTTGTATTGATATATAGCCTACAATTTTAGGTTCAAAGTGGTAAAATAAATTTAAAATTAAATAAAAGTAATGCAAAGTTGACCTGATTGTGATGTAAGAAATCTCAAATAATTATTTTGTTTGTATTTATAATCATATTTACTAAATCAAGGAATCATACCTAACTTAAATACATGTATTTAACATTAGTTAGATTGTGATTTCTCTTCCATATAACATTCCTGACATGAAGTGAAAATTATTTTTGTCAAATCAAGGAATATTAGAGATAAAATAATAAGATAATAATTAGAGAAAAAATAAATTTGTGAATTAACATGATAAATAGTCATTTTTATTTTCAGAAAAAGAAGCCATCTACACCCAGTAGGAAAATTTTACCTATAAATAAAAATACTTCCAAGACACAAGTTGAAAAATTTTGAAAATTTCAATATTTTTATACAAATTACTTATAATTTTATAGTGAATCAATTCTTTCAAAACTAATTCTATAATTTATTTCCTTAGCAAAATATGTTTTTTTTTTTTTTTCACATTATATTAATTTTATTCCTTTTACATTTGATTTCAATACAACATTGTTACAGAATAATAAGTAAAGACTTCATTTAAATTTATTTTGTGGCCAGAATGAGTCTATTTGATGAAGTAAACAGTTTAAAGATTCATAAACTATTAAATTATATAATATTTTAGAAATCTCTCTCAACTATTTAAACTACTGAATTTCACTATATTTTATAAAATTGTTAAAAATAAATTTTCTAAAATTAAAAATACTCAGGTAATTAAATAATAATAATTTTTTAAAATATAACAACACAAAAATGAAAAGGGAACTCGGGTACATTTATTGAGAGCCACAAATAATCGTTCAAAGAGCCGCATGTGGCTCGCGAGCCGCAGGTTGGCCACCCCTGTTATATATGATAAATTAATTGTTATATAATAATTGTTAAATATATATATATAAATGTTGAAAATAGATAAATATTGTTAACAATAATGCATTATTTAGGTACGGTTTTATTGCATTTTTCTTAGTTTTAATTTGGTTATCATCAATAAACGTTAATCAAAATTTTAAAAGAATGTGAAAACAGGTAAAATTTTTAAAAAATACTATCAAAGAAATGTTTGTAAAATATATTTTTCCTACTAGAAATATCATTTGAAATTACTTGTTAATGATAAATGATATTAAACAATTTAGATGATGCCATTTAGCAGGAAATTCTTTTAAATGACAATAAATAAATCATTTGCAATCATTTATTTTAAGAACTGTTAAATGATGTAAATATGAATTATATTCTCAATGGTCTCAAAGCTCTTCAATGTTTAAGTTATGAATAGGTACAGTTGCTAGATACTTGGGGATGAAATCCACGACAAAATGAATTCTTTTGGAAAGATACCAGCTTGGAAGCTTCAATTCCAGGACTTTGATATGTATTTTTACTCTGCTAGTGACAGAAATATAAAAATATGCTTTACTGTAGGAACAGTTTTTAGAATAAAGTTCTCCTGTGGCTAGATAAAAGTTGGAAAAAATCTGCGACAACCCTATGAATAAGTAATGCCAATAGCATCAAATAATAACAGTATACATCATTTCATAGTTGATAACCAATGTAATTACCTAACAATGGATCATTTAAACTGTCAAAAATCACTTAAGAAATGGCATCTTTTGTAAATGATTTTATCTCAATTCTTTCATCTTGTAGGATCTAATTAGCTGATATTTTTTGAAAATTATATATATCGGTATAGATGATGATATATAATTATGAAATAATAGCATATTGTAAAATTAGTGGTAAACACATATTGTATATCACTTAGGAAAGGCACTAAATAAAGGNATTTTGACAATATACATTTGTAATTTGTTAGTCTAGAAAGAGAAATTATTTAAAGCATTTAATTTTGTTTTATATATATTCAATTTTGGAATATAATATACAAGGAATTGAGTAAATGAAGTCGTAATAGAGAAATCAAAATAGATTTTGTAAACCATTAACTTAGTAGTTAACTAAATCAATCTTAAAATGTAAAAAATTCTAAGATTTGATCCCAGATTCCTAGAGCTGTAGACTGATGCCTTAACGGTTTTTCCCACCTCTGGCTGGCTATTTTGAGAATTAAAAATTTTTAGGCTATTATATATTTCTTACTGAAATCTTCTAATAAGAATGAGAATAATACAAAATATTTTTATGCTAGACTTTTTATACTAACTGAGTATATAAGATAGTTTTTAATTTTTATCTGTTACCTTACTGATAGAAATTCAATAATCATAATTTTTTTATAGATGGCATTGGCCATCCTCAACCAATAAATGAAGATGTAAAGTTAAAATTCTTTGTTCCTCTATTACAAAGGTGAGTTATTATTGAGATATTATTCAATAAAACATATAACACATAATTTTGTGTATTTTGTGCTCAATATTTCCTAATTACAGTATATTGTACATGTGTGAGGTTTGTTGACTCAGAAAGGGGGAGTTAATTAAACTCACATCAGGAGGTACAAGGAATTTAGAACTATATGGGTAGTGGCATTGAACATACTGACACAAGCACCTTTGCAAATTTAAACCCATTTATATTAAATGTAAATTGGTGGCTTACAGTCTTTCAGAGTGATGATATTTGCTGGTGGCCTCTTGAGGAGTCATGGCAAAATGATGATGGTCAGTTGGAGATGGATAATGATGAAGGTAGTGGAGTGAAGATGGTGACAACGACATTTTGGAAATAATGATTCACCAATACAGAGAAAAAGAACGAAGTCATCTCATGAACTTGGGAGAGGAAAATTCACCTTTGTTTTTGAAATCTGAAGTATTTAAAGTATTTTATCCCTGAATTTCTTATTTCAATTGGTTCTGATTCCCTCTTGTTATTTCTCAATTGGTTTTCTCCCTTGTTTCCAGGTGGAAAAGATTGGATCGGTTCATGAGAAAGGTTGATCTTCAGTATTCAACTCGACACCATCTCTCAATTAACTGGAAGATGTTAATGGAATTTTGAAACCTGCACTTATATTTTTGATCATTATGGTCTCCATTCTGACAGTTTGGAATGTTAACTATTAAACACAACATTTTCCTTTTGCTAAACTTCCTTGTTTCCTGACTCAGTTTAACTTTAATCATTTGTATATGAACATCAGAGTCAAAGTTTAAACTCCCCAGGCTGAGTTTGATTTATTACTTAACATGTGTCTGCGTCACACTGGGGACTCACATCGTTTATATTCATATCACTTCACCACATTCATTTAATACAGTTTTTTTCTATTTTAAAATATATTTTCTAGTGTTAACCACACTAGACAGGTTTGGACTCAGTATGGAACCTCACACATGTTAATTGCACTATCTTGCTAAATTTCTGATTGCACTACAATTAAATATAAAAAATAAAGAATATTATTATTTAATATTTTTTCAATATATACTAAAATTTAAAACAGTGTTCTGTTTCATATATTATAATAGAATGAAAGAAAAGGAACTATCTCTGATGTAATATCATAAATAATTTCTTTATTAATAGATCATTTACTCTAGATTATGTGCGTGATACAGAGATTGAAGGCATTCCCACAATGGAATTCACTGTTCCTTCAGATACTTTCAATACCCAAAGTACATCCTCTGAACAAAAATGTTTTTGTGATATTAAAAAATGGTGTGATGGTAAAGGAGTCTTTTCATATAAATTAATAGATGGTAAGTGAATTTTATTATTACTTTTTTCTTGAAATTTTTAACTAATAATGCATATCAATGCATATAATGACTTAAAAATTGATAACTTAATATTTATAGAAATAGATGTATCAATATTAGTTCTGTGTAAATAGAGAATATGTGGAAAATAAAGTATTATAATTTTGAGAAAACTTGGAAGGGTTATTAAATTCTTTAGGTAGAAGCCAAACTATATTTTAAAATTATATTAATGAGTAATATAATTTTTGTAGCAGATTACTTATTTATAATATCAGTATCAAAATACAAAAGATCTGATAATTGTTTTTCTACATAAACAAACATCACAAAACCTGATAAATTTGTAAAGTCAAACAACCACTGGATTACATCAGGCTACTTTTTCATGATTATATTTAATTAATTACTAAATAATTTGCCCTTAGAAGGAGTTGTTAGGTATCATCNAATATATTATATACAGATAATAAATTAATAGTTTTTATTAATTCATTATCTCGTTTAAATTCATAATCCTATAATATGCAAGATATTTTTTCCCCTCAATCTCTAATCAATTTTCTTAATCACTGGTCATGTAACAAGCATTTAATTTTGATATATTTGACAGTTTATCTCCTTTGGAATGTAAAGATACAAAAGAATTTAAATAAGAATTCATTTTCTACAGCTAATCAACAAATAATAATATTAAATTTAGGATTTTATGTTACATAGAAACTTATTTGAACAGCATGTGATGACATAAGAATGAGGGATTTCAGAGATTCATCAACAGTTTTTCAATTTATGTTACACGTTATACAAAAACTACTTGGAAAATATAAAATTTTATAAGTTACAATAGAAAAAAAAACTTATTTTTTTTTTCTATAAAATAAATATATTTGAAGAAAGATGAAACTTCTTTAATTGGCACTAAAGTGATAGACATTCCTTTCACAAATTGTCTTAATTGTTTACTGGTACATTTTATGAAGATTGTTTATTATTTGATAAACAAAATGTGCAGTTGAACAATATTAAATAAGAAAACAAAACAAAAAAAAATATTACATTGTATATTGCATCTTTTATAATAATAAAAGCCAACCTCCTGGAATAAATCAATATATTTTTGGGGGAGAAGTACGATTTCTTAAATTTCGATGTCAACGTGACTAGAATGTTCGTATATATCTTTGCTGACGTAATTAGTTTTATTATATTTTCCTAAAATAAATGAAATTCGATTTTCATTCTGGAAAGACGGAACCGTGATTGTCGTAGAATTTCGGTTTTGTTTCCATTTTGTTTGAAGTATCACTGTTCATATTCATGTCAATCACTTTACCGTCTTTAGGCTTGGCTTTCTGGAAAGGATAATAATAAAATATTTAAAATACGTTATTATTATAAAATAAGTTATTATTTTATTTTAAAATTTCATTAATTGATAAAAGAGATTGTACTGTTATACAGGTCTACTTAGCACCAAATCTTTTAAAGTGAGAACTATCCCCTATATACTTGAATGAGGAAAATGTTTGCATATAAAAGAAATATACACTGCTTTAAATAATTTAATAGAAGTACAGTAGACCCCCTCTTATAACACTGTAGATAATTTCGTGTTATATGAATTCCATGTTGTACGAGTCACTTAGATTTTACAAATACGTGTGCCGGGCTGTGAACGGCTCGCGTATTTTTAAAATCTAAGTGACTCGTACAACATGGAATTCATATAACACGGAATTATCTACAGTGCTATAGGGGGTCTACTGTATAACAATTTTTCATAACAGTAGGTTCACCATAAAACTTATATGGGAATTTTTTGTGGCTTTAATTTAACTTAGTAAAAATATAAAATAAGTTTAATTTTAGAAGATAACTTACTTTCCAAATATTCCATAAGATGACTGCGACCGATACGAATATCCAAATCACTCCCAATACCATAACAGATATTAATACAGCTCGTCCCACAATCATGGGCGTAGTAACTTGAGATGTAAATTTATCTTTAGCATTTTCTGTAATTTCACCTGTCTGAAAATACGTTATTTATGCCTTATTTCGAAGCCGATAAACATAATGAATTTTTATCTTTATTTTTAACATCTTGCTTACCTGATCCAACCAAAACACCGGCATTATAATATCCGATACCGAACTTAAAAAACTAAAATAAAAATAATTACATCAGTGAAGATGTTATAATCTATTTAAATGCTTTGCATCTAGTTAAAGATTTCTTTACCTAATGTACGGATTTTGTAAAATTTCCAAGTTAAACTGTAGCTTTCCAGATACGCGAAATGTTGTTCCAATTGTCTATAATTATAATTTAATATATTTATAAGTATTGTATATCTTAAACAATATATAAGAGTATACGGAATTACGCTTACCGGTTCAATATCAATAAAAGTTTGATGTTTTTCTTTACGAGGTGATAATCCTTTTATTTTCTTTCGTATCCTTTCATCTGTCTTATAGAAATGTGGTGATGAAACATATACTGGCCTTCCTGAAAAAGTGTAATTTTTAGATTAAATAAAAAATATATTATATATGATAATTCAGATGTTAAATGCAATACTAAATCTAATTTTGGTATAAATCAGTCTACAGCAAGAACCATTCAGATTAAGTCTAATTTCCATTATAGAATAACTGGTAATTATCAACAGAACAATAAATGTTCAGTTAAGCCATGTTTGAATTTTTATTTATTTATTATTAAGTAGGGAAAAAATATGTAGATTTACCTTTTTGGCATACGGATACTGGAAAAATTCCATTGATACTTGGAACATTTCGTCTATAGAAACACTTATTGTCAGGGTTAGAAGTTGTATCTTGAAAAGCTGAAGGAGACAAGATATAACGATACGCAGTAATTCCTTTAATACTAACGTCGTCTTCGTAAATCAATGGTACCGATCTGAAAATATATATCATTACGATGAAACAATAGTCCTTATACGATAGAAATATTAATTAATTTTTAAATTTTTTTTACCTGCAAATATCGGGGATAAAAATATATAACGTGTCTGAGCGTTTTAGGAACGGAGAAAATCCTCTTCCGTCTGAAAGGCATGTCGTTTGGATGAATAATTTTCAAAATTTAAAATCTTTATGCTATAAAACTGTATTTGAAATTTACCTGTCCCGTTTATCATATTGCAGTAATTGCCATTCCAGTATTGCAAGGATCTAAGGAAAGAAATGATTCAATAATGAAATGCATTCTAATATTAACAAGATTAATTTCTGTTATGATTTTTGATTTACAATAAAAGATGTAAGTATGTAAACAGAAAATCTGCACAATTTTGGTAGGTATATTTGTTGTGTGTTTTTTTTTTAAAATAAATTTGAGAACGTACTAACTTAGTACTTGCTCAGACTATGTAGATTTAAATTCATGCACTCGTGGCAATAGTATTAGAAATATAAGCGAAACGGAGTAATATAATGAAGAGCAAAGAAGAATTGTAGTTGGGAATTTTACAAACAGCATGAGAAAAGGGAGGAGAATTTCACAGTTAAGCATTTTGTGTTTATGTAAATGACAAGAAGGATGGTTTACAGCGTCATAGGTAGGCTACAAAGTGGTAAAACTGTTGCTAGATGTACAGGAAGTGGCGAAAGATAATTAAAATTATAGATAGAAAAAGAGAGTCTTTGAAAAGAGCAGCGATCAGAAAAGTTGGACAGTCTCTAAGAAAACTTGCAAGAAAGTTCAAAATATCTTATCAGTAATATATATAGCCTATATAATAGCTTGAATCACAAAATACTCTGCTGCGAAAAATGCGTGAGAACTATTTCAAGGCTTTAAATGGACGATGAGTCGTGTTTTACCTTTGATGGAAATGACTGTGCTGGGAACAACACGTACTACTGTAAGAATGGGTTGATTTACAGGTAAAATTAAAACGCTATGGAAAATTTCCTCAGAAAGTGGATAAAAATCATACCAAAAAAAGATCTGAAGCATTTATAACACCCTTTCGCCTCTGCAACAACAAAGAAATGTACAAAAGGAATGTATTAAAATCAAGAAACTCCACTCATATGGTTTGTATATCTTCTGGCCAGACCTCGCAGCTGCACATTAAGCAACATATAAAGTTTCCGCGTTAAAAGAATATAAAGTTTGTTATGTCAGCAAAGAGAAGAGCATTGCAAATATTCCTAAACTGCGACCAATTGAACAATTCTGTCACCAGCTGAAACAGAAAGTGTACGTAAAAGGGAGGTCTGCCATAAATGAAGAGGGGACTGAAACAACGCATCAAGTCAAAACTCTGCCAATTTAATTTAGAGTATTTTTATCAATTTTTTGTTCTTGGATAATATAAAATGACCCATAAGAGAGAGAGCAATTAACCAATTTCGTGCTAGAATTTAGCCATTAAAAAGTAATAAATTAAATTCTTACGTCTTGCCATTCCAGGCGTGGTAAGAAAGATACTTTTTCATATCTTTTGCACCAGTATAAACACTCATTATTCCTTCGTCGCTATTATTTTTCTGAAAAATTTAAATATTTAAAAAAATGATAAACAGTGATAAATATTTTTTTAAAAAATTATTAAATAAATAGAAATAAACAAAGACATTCCTAACATGATTTAGCCTATATCTTCTCCAGATTATAGAGAAGAAAATATTAAATTTTATCGTAATTAAAATATGATAATACAATTTTATAAACTAGAATTAATGATTTTTCTTGAAAATTTAGATGAATAAAATATTAATTCTTACCCCGTAAAGTAAACCAAAAGAGTTATTAGGTAGAAACTGTATGAAATTGGGTACAAATGGACGAATGATGGAGTCTATTCTTTCGACAAGATCTACTTTGTAGCCTTGGAAAAGAAGTTCTTTAACTGTTTTTCTAATGAAGAGTGTTTCCCCAAATCCACGAAGAACTCCTTCCACTAATGGCATTGATACTGATTTCAGAATAGTAGGAATACTATCGGAAGCCAATTGAACTATACCCTAGTTAAACAAGAGATTTGAATTAATTTGGACATTTTTAGTGTCATTTCGAACAATAAATAAATTTAAAATTTAATTATGCATCTATATATAAAGTTATAATTTAATTTTTAATGAGAAATGACAGAATAAGTGTTGTTATTATTTGAATTATAGAGAAGAATACTACCATTTGAAATTGTTGTAATTATGTTAATTATTATCCGAGAATGTTGTAATGTATTTTAAAACATTATAAAACTGTCCAAGTTTCATATTTGCCTATTAAAATTTCTCAATGTATGCACTTCGTGTCATATGGCACACCTCCAATCCATACTCAAATTCTTCCTATACTCGCTGTACAGTACATATCCATTGTATTCCTTCTAAAGCAGCCACAATTATAAAGCTCCTGCAGATTACTTACGTTGCTCAATGATAAATGATTCCAACTTTGTGAACTGCAGAATACAGAAAACCTCTGTTGCAAGTCGCCATTTTTGTTTACGACACTTCCTAGAGGTTAGTAGACAAGACGTTTGAATGCAGATGGGAGATGAAACTCGGATAGTTACTCTATCTAGTGGTGTGTAAAGCACACTTACAGTAATTTAAAATGGTAGCATTCATTATATATGCTTACCACAATTGGCATATTAACAGTTACGACTATATCATCTTCACTACCAGTAGATAGATCTGGTTGAAAATAATATACTTTTTTCTCACGATAAGTTACGACAGTATCATCTTTACTCCATCTTATCACATCTTTTTTTCGATATTCCCTTAAACATGAAAACAAATTTTCTTAATTGTTTTAAATCTACCAAAATTATAATTTCACAGATAATTTCGTAATTTTTATATAACACATACCTATAAACGTAAGGTCCCATTTCTGCGACTCTTGGAGATTTTTTACCCTTAACAATCTCGTCTGGATTGGTGACATTAAATAAATATATTTTCATGTAAATGGGAACTATTGGACTTACCCAGTGATTATACGAACTGGTACCTTCTTTTATAACTAAATTCTGTAAAATTAAGAAATTTTATTCTGAAATAAACAATTCTAGATAATTTTTATAATGTCTTATCATAAATTTTTGAGCCTGTTTAAGAGATTTCGCTAATTACTTAGGCTTTAAACAATTCATTTTAACATAACAATTGCACTTTTTTTTTAAAACATTAGTTTAATTATTTTTATTACTAATTTTCAATTAATACAATGAAGAATTTCATTCTTTGTTTTAAAGAAATAAAATAGCATGAGGTCTCGCTAAAAATATCTATTCGAATATTATTCTTTCAACATTAATGATTATTTTCTATAGCAAAAGTAACCTTCAGGTTTCATGTGACCTTTTGTAGCTTTTAGTAAGCTGATAAAATATGCAATGATATATTATAAAAAATAAGTTTTAGATACTTGTTCACCTTCAGTTTTCAGCTAAATTAACAAAAAAATTATTGTCCATGCTCATTTTAACTTCCAACAGGGTGAACAAAATCGTGACCCTCCACATACACTAACCTTGTGCAACTCGATCTAACAGCCGAAATGGTATCAACTTAGGCGAGGAAAATAATGAAGACGTGAATGAAAGTATTCCACGAATTAAATTGTAGTTCCAAAAGTCGCCGATAGGGAAAATATAGCGTTGTGCAATGTAAAAATACGTTACAGTGGACAGATAAATGAATAACAAAGACGGAAGTAAACTGAAACATCACGTTTTATTCAGCACATTTCACTTCTCCCAGTGGAATTGAACCAGTTTCATTGTGGATCAGGAATTACAGCCGAATGTAACATGTCTGAAGGAATGTTCATTATCATGGATTATGATGGTGTTCATCACAACCCGTGATGAAACACAACACGGGGGGAAGTAAGTGTGCTGAATAAAAGATGATGTTCCAGTTCACTTTTGTCTTTGTTATTCATTTGTTTATCCATTGTAACGCTTTTTTTACGTTGCACAACGCCATATTTTCCCTATCGGCGACTTTTGGACCTATATGAAAAGCAAGATATGCAATAAAGAATGGCTTGGACACATTGTAAGGCATGAAAACCCCATTGAAAGAATTCCGGATGGAAAGATATTTGTGTAAGATGAGACAAATACTGAAACAATATTATGTCAAGCAAGTAAAAATGTTGCAGATGAATAGTGAAAAATGGCTGAAGGCAAGGACAGAGAAGATTGCAATGAAAAATTGTGACAAGAAGTCTAATTTGACTAGTCCTTGGTTAAATACAAATGTAAAAAAATAATGCTATATATAAGAATAAAGAACAATATTTTCTTGTAAAGTATCGTGTCACAACTGATTGAGCTGCAATTTGAAAAAAAACTGTAGACCTATAAAATCCCACTGTCATTTGTCCGTCTGTCTTTTCTTAATCTCGAGAAAGGAATTAGATAGGTGAAAGATGAGACCAGACATGAAAACGTTAGAGGCATAAGGCCTCGATTAACTATACATGAACATCTGATTTGCACCGAATGTCACGTTATTTAAAGTCAAAACTTCCCCTGAAATGAATTAATAGATGACCGGCACGATACTACTGCTAACAGGAAAAGTATGATGTATAGGGGCAAGCCACTACTAATTTGAGGTGGAGAGCAATGTAAATTTTGATATATTCACGAAATTCATTTATTTAGAGAACAATTTACTGTTGGAGGTCGAAGTTACTAGTTGTTAGAAAAGAGTAACGTGTTATAGGAACTATGTTCGTCAAACTTTCATTTCTAAAACACAGAGAACAATTTACAACAATAGAATGCAGGATATTTCGGGGGTGTGGTCCGTCCGGGCCCCGTCCCTCACCACCCGGTCGCCCCATTGTGGGCCTGGCCGAATCCATAATGGGCTTGCTAAAAAGAGGCCCTCTTAGTGCCCACAGGACGAAAGAGTTAAAAAAAAAACAATAGAATGAAAAATATTTACAAATCAACAACACGGATTAATTTTGTATACAGAAAACTATTGAATCAAATGATCTACCTTCGATTAATGAATGCTTAACCCAATAATCACATTCAATATTGTTATATGTTTAACACACATTCTATCTGTTATTAGTACCATGACACGTAATATTTAAATTTTTATTAGTGAATAAAATAATATGATTTTCGTTAGATACTGTACATTCACTTGTGCCCAATAAAGTTCAGTTGCATTATGATCCCAATGCAAAAACTCAAATATATAAATGGTCTTATTCTATAAACAATTCAATTACGAAAAATTTTCTTTGATTTTCCTGCAAAAGATTGTGTATTTTCCTTTATTAATGTCTTAGATTATTGTTCTTATGATCAGGGATCGATCTTGAAATGGAGATGTCACTTACTCCCCTTCAAGATTTTTTAATATGCCGATAGGAATTTTATTATTTCTTTAAAATAATGTTCATAATAATGATAAAATTCCGTGTTATCTCCAGATTTAAAATTCAACAAAGATGGCCGTTGTTTATCTGAATATTTTTGTGTTAATGTAAGTGACATGCTAAGAAACAAAGAAATGTACACGTAAAATGTATAGAATGTTATTAAAGACATTTACATTGCCCATTGAAAGGCTATCGTACTGTACAGGTAAACGGGCACAAAATAAATATATTAATACAATATTCTGTTTTATTAAAATTGCCCAATTCTTTTCCAATGGGGGAGGTTAAACCCATAAAATTCGTATGTATACTGCCTTGATTTTGCTTTGATCGTATCTTCTATTGTCTTAAAATTATTGTATTAATTAATAGTTTAAATATATAAAACATAAACTTATTATATCTTTAAGGAGCACAGAAACAAACGGGTAACTTGATAACATGCTTGTTAACTCAATGAAGAAGACAAACCTGTAATCTTATCTAAACGTTATTTTATATAATACGATCCAACGTAAAGGATATATATTATATTATATTCAAAAATATCTTTCATTAAAAGCATTAATCAAGTTATAAAACAGTATAAAACACGGAATTACAACTAATAAATACGGCAGAAAAATACAAATAATAATATTTAAACGAATGTGGGATGACCAAAAACACAGTTAAAACTCAGTTAAATGAGTTTTGGTTCACCCTACATGTTAATCTATGAAAAATTCTATTATAATTTACGTTAGGAATGCAAGTGTTAAACAAGATTTTGGTAAACTAAAGCGCATTAATTAAAGTTTGAAAATGTATTCTATTCGGGCCATTAAAGCAAGTGTTTTTCAGATTATTTTATGCAAATATATAAAAATTAAAAGAGATATTTGAATAAATCTTTAATAGACTTTTATAATTATTATTTAAGAAAAAATTCCGACAAAAAAGTTATCGGTGTAAGCACACAGTATACAGGTCAAGTGATAATGTAACATAATGATCATTTATTCGGATTAACTGAAAAAAATGTCACTCACTACGACATTTTAATTCCGCGAAAGGTAAATGTAAGCTTTCTTTTTTGAATATATAACCTTTTATTTTGGATAAAATGATTAATTATACTTTCTTTAATCTGCATGATCGAATAAGATGGAAAATACCATCGTGCTCGTACCTTAAAAGCAAAAATTGTTTTTCGAAACAATAAAAGGAAGTAAGTTCTATTTTTTTTTTTTTTTGTTTAACCATTTTAATGGGGTCGTACAGAAGCTGAATGTCAGAGAGATATGACCTATATAAAAGAAAATCAGTGTATACGGAAATAATAAAAAGGGAGTACGTGAAACGTGACACTTTTCCATTGTAGATTAAGTTTAAATAGTTGAATTTAGCCGAAAAAAAAAATATAAAAATTAATGAATACAATGAATAACAGATATACTGTAGTTGTTAGTGTATGAGTGTCAATGTATCATTGTCATAACTATAATGTGTAGTGTAGTACAACAGGTGCACATACATAAAGTTTCGTTCGATTACTTAATATTTTTTGTTAAAGTTAAGTATTAACAGATCATTTCTATGATAATGGAAGTATGTAGTTATTGTTTAAGAAAAAAAAATTCATCTGAAAGTTATCTGTGTAAGCAAAACAAAGGTAGTAATACAGGTCAATTGATAATATCGCGTAAAGAGTGACAGTTTTTTTGGATTACCTGGAAAAATATCGCCGACTACGATCTTTTAATTCAACGAACGGTCAATTTGTAAGCTTTTCTTATGGCATTTAAAGAGCTAGATACGGCATTTTTAATAATAAATAATAATAATTGATTGTAAAATAATCGAATAAAAAAAAAAGGAATATTTTCATTCCTTTCTCTCTAATTCTTGTATTACTTTCCCTTTATATTTTAGTATTAAAATACAACTTTTATATTTAAATTTCCCGTAAATATAACTTTAAAGTATGAATTATGAGATTTAAATTATTAAAATTGTATTTAAAAGTCGAATTTCCTTTGCTATAATTTATTTAAAGATGTAAACACGTCATCAGAAACTCAGAAAAGTGAATGTACTGTAAGAGGAGAAATTAATCCAAAAAAAATTTACTAAAATAAGAAATCCAGAATAATAATAATAATAATAAGTGATATTTTAAAAATAAATACTTCAAAATTATTTAGGAATTTCCTAAATAAATTTCGGAATTTCCCTATTAGTTGCGTACTAAGATTATTATTATTGTTNTTTCATTTCGGAATTTCCCTATTAGTTGCGTACTAAGATTATTATTATTGTTCCAGTCGAATTTCCAGTTTATAGTTTATGATGACATAGTTTTAAAATGAGTCATTAATAAATTAATAATAGAAATCTACTGCAACTAGGATAGTGTAATTACACTTAAACAATTTGTTTGATTATAAATTATAAAGAAAAAAATAAAGTTTCTCTGTATGTATTGATGTTATTGTGTGTGGAGGGCAGCACGATTTTATTCACCCTCTTTGAAGCTTAATAACTCTTGTACTTTTTGTTAAAATTTTCTGAAATTTTGCAGGGAAGTTTGTGTATTAGGGGGATTGATTCTATTAAATTTTGGTGGTTAAAGGTCAAGGGAGTGGGAAGATAGAATGGGGGGATCAAATCTGGAGTGGGATCGGACGTAATGACGATTTTACTTGTTATTAGTATTTATTTATTTTTTATTCATCCAAATACTGTACATTTAATTAGATTAGCCCAGTGTTTCCAAATATCTAAGCCGAGCTTTCCCGTACTCTAGTTTATTCTCATCTATTCACTCGTCAAGTTTAGTTTAAATGTTCTTCGTCACGAATATCAGCCTAATTAGGGTTGCATAATGGCACGAGGCAGAAAAACAGGAAAATAAAATTACGTTGACAAAACCCCGAGGGGTTCAGTTGTTCTAGACACTCGTTACTATTCTATTTCTCATAATGGAATGTTTTATTCTTCATCTACTGTATACATGGGTAAACAGATGGGTTTGCGCCTCGACCACGTGGAGTTTCCTAGATTTTCTTCATGTTAGTAACACCTAAATAGGGGCCTAGTTTCTTATAAAACTCCTCCCGGGAGGTATTACTACCCCGGTAGTGTCTCATTACTGTATGAGCAATCAAATATTGGAAATTATTATTAATTTAATTCTTTCTTACGTGTGTCTTTAGCTCCAGGGCATCATTAATTTGCTGATAATGAGATAATTGATATTATATTTACGTGTATATCATTTTAAAGAAAAACCTTTGAATTTTTTAACAGGAAAACATATAAATATTTATTTTTAATCCTTTATAATGACATCGCTTCCTAGAACACTGGTAAAAGTGCGAAAGTTTGACGTAAGAAATCAAGAACGATGCCTACGGCTAATCATTGATAAGACGTTTAGAGAAAGGAAGTACGTCAATTTTCATGAATTATAAAACCAGATTTGATAATACATTACATATTTACGTCAGAGAATACAGAAAGAATACAACTGTTCTAACATGAAGGCATTTCATGACAGCTTATAAGGTGTTTATAGGAAAATAGACCCACTATTTAGGTTTATTCAATATTTCTAATTAAAATACTTTATAAGTATTACATTTCTTGGTGATAATAAATATATTTGTACGTTGTAGCAATACGAAATTCTCGGAATTTTTAATATTTTATGACGTTTATGAGCCATTGTTCTCGAAACAAAGTGTAGTAAACTTCTTAACTTCTTTTATTAGTTTAAAAACAGTAAAAGATGTTAAATAAATTCGAAAATAATGTACTAAATTGGAATTTTAGTTTACTACACTGGCTTTTTATAAACATTTAAAAGTAGTGGCGTGGTTAGGAATTGTTTAGAAGGAGCCAACAAGATTACAATTGATATAAGTTCTTATACGTTTTTTTAAAGCAATAAAAAACTTATACAGTATAATATTTAATAAGTATTATGAATTTTTCTCTGTAATTTTTATCAGTTTACCAGAATAATTTAAAGCAATCGACATATCATCAAATGATGCTCGACACCATCCATACTAAACACATTTTTCTATTGATCTATAATAGTATATGATTTATACGCTATCTAGTGTGTAGAAATATTTGTTTTTCACTGATAATTATTTAATTAAAAGCTTTATATTGAAAAAAAAAACAATACCCTTCATTGAAAGTCATTCGCTACAAGGCTCACGGGTGTACTTTAATGAATACATTGTTAAACTTCCACTCGTTGAAAGTATTTTCAGCATATTTAAAAGTATAAAAGTTTATACTTAACGGAAAGATTTATGATCTCTTCCCTATTTAATTTATTAATTATATAAATTAAATAGAAAATAAAAGCATTTAAAATGTTTCCTATTCTATACAATACTGGAGTATAGTAACAATATTTCCTTTACTCTTAAACTTTTTCTTGGTCATAATTCTAAGAGACTTTTAATAACAATAACAATTTTCTTTAAAAAATATATAAGTTATTTATCAGAAATAATCCAATTTATAATTATAAAACCGAAAAAATTAAGATCGAAGAGAAGTTATACCATAGATAAAAGCTTACACAATGTTATAATCTTATAACTTTCTAATTAAAAAAAGTAATATTTTCTAAATATAAATTACTATTAAATTAATTAGAAGATGTTATTTATATATTTTTAATTAAAAAAAAACCCATAAAATAGTAAAAAATATATTGTTTTGACGTACGACACATAGCATTGTTTTCTACACCTTTCGAAACTTTCGCGTGTATTAATTAATAATTAGATTTATAGCATAGTTCTATCTCGTACTTTAATATTATCCAACAAGCCTCTACGTTTATAAAATAAGTAAATAATTACGTATAAAAATTTGAAAAACTTTTCATATGATAAATTTAGGTCTAGAGGTGAGAAATAAGTCGGAGGTACTCGACCTAATTTAAATCTATACTAGGCCATGTAATAGAAACTTTATATTACAATCACTAAGCTTCTTTATTAACTAATTTAATTCTATATTATTCTATTTAAAAACACTTTATTTCGTTTCTTTGTCTCGAAAACGAAAGGTTAATTACGTAGATAAAGATGAAATACTTTAGAAATAACTTACTTGTTTTACTTTGGATTTGATAATATTCGGAAATAATCCATAAACTATAGCACCAACTATACAACATATTATACCTATTGTTAGTATAACTTTACTTAAAACTCCTAGAGACATACTGCACTTGTGTGAAAGGTGATAACAAATACATTTCCAAGGCCGATCAGACGAGGAAAGACATATTTACGAATAGCTAGAACACCGAATAGAACAGGTTTACCGATCACGTGTATAAGTGACGGTAGAGATTTCCCATTTTTACTTATACGTATATTAAATAGTTGCAAAAGTTTAGTTGCGCAGCTTTAACGTTTACTTCCATAGAAACTAAGACAATTAGGACGAGGTCGATTTATATTCCTTATAGCTTATAACTAACACAGAAATTCTGGAAAGTGTAATGTACCGAAAACCTAGAAAATATTATTAAATAATAATATAAAATTTACTTATTTATTTAATGAATTTTTTAAGTCTATTTGTTCGTTTGTTTCTATAAAGTTATTCATCCCAATTCTCTTATAAATTAATTATTCCTATAGGAGGAATATTTGTGTCATTTATTAGATAATTTTTAACAGAATGTATATTTTTACTTTCATTATATATTAAAATTTCACTCTCATTTTGTTTTTTTTTTTTTTTTTCACTCAAATACTAAATCAACCAACCGTTTTATAAGGAGCTGTTAATTTTATATTGTTCATAAACAATTAAAAGTAAATATTATATATTTATACTGGTGTTATCAGTATTAATTTCCATAAGTAAATTGTGTCAGGGTCTTTTTTTTTTAAATTTTAAATCTAAGTTTTAATTATAATTCGAGAGTTAAACAGAAAAATTAATTTAATTTTAATTCTATTTATAAAATTATCATTAATTTGAACGTATATTTTATTGAGTAATTAAGGATTTTATATATAAATTATGAATCATAAATGTATTGTTTTTTTATATATAGCCTGAAGGTAATTTGTATAGTTTATAAGTACACAGGTCATTCCTTTCTTTTTTCTTAAAAAAAAATAAAATAAAATAAGAAGAACGACTGCAATTACGTCAGTTTTAGGCTTTTCACTCTGATTGTTCTTGAGATTATTTATTTATAATCCTCTTTATTTAAAAAAAAAAACGAGGTTTACTTATGAAATATGGGAAAATTACTTGTATACAGGTAAATAAATTTTCATATAAACGAAAAATGATGCAAATTTTATAAATTTTAATGAATAAAATATAGAGATTACAAGGTATAAATCGTTAAAACAGTGGAATATCCTTCTAAAATTTAACACAAAACAAGGGATTAAACAATTTATAGAAATTATTTATTAATGTAGATCATAACTAATAATAAATATTAGAAATTTTCCTTGTTAAGTTCTTGGTATTTAGGATTATTTTTGTTTTTAGAATCCTTTATGGTATTTAAAATTTGTTAAATGAATATAAAAGATTTATTTATTAACTATTCAATTCTTTGCATTCTATTATTCAACAATACTAAAGATGACAAGGAAAACGTGGTAAAAATGTATTTGTATTAAGTCGATTTTCTATTAATATTATAGTCAAGTAGCGATTATAAAAAATTAGAAGCGAAAATATCTCATCCTACGTAAATTTTATACAAAAGAAAGGAATTAAAGTAATTATTCAGGATGGACCAAAAATCAATTAACCAAGAACATTTAAGATTAAATTAGTAAAATGGGGCTTAAACCAGTTTAGAATGTTGTATATTGTTTATTGAACAGTATTTTCTAAACGATAATAAAATTATTTTAAGTTAAATTAGTTACCTGTCTTTTAAATCTCTCTGTATATAACAAATGCCAGTGTGTTTCAAGAGAATAATTGTTTTAGTCATCGTTCAGAAACTCTAATTAGACATTAAAATGGAAGACAATAAATAGCTATTGAAACTAATGGAAAACAGTTAGATATTGTATTAATTTACTATTATATCATACGAGATTTCTATCGAAAAAATAAGTTAATATGTAAAATTTATTTCGAAATATCCTCATTTTACGTCACGTATTTCAACCTTGGACGAACTTTCAGTGATATAAAAACTTGAAATTCAAATTATTCCTTTCTTAAAATACAATACTTATCTTTCTTTCCTCTTGCTGATAATTAATTCAATTTATTGTTATTCTTTCACTTCAAACTACATTTAATTTTTAGTCAACTTATAAGAATTTACTCCAAAAAATGAACAAAAATTTTTCTACAATTCTTTAATGCTTGCTTTTTTTTTTTTAGAAAAAAACTGTTTAATATTTGACATATTGAAAGGAAAACCTTTTTTGTAGGTAGACAGAGCATCACAATAGTCCTCAATACACAGAACAATGTGTATATGGAGCAAAGGAAAAGAAGAGTAAAGGAAAAGAATAAGGGAAAGCATCACAAAAGAAACATGATATTTTATAATAATAATAATTATAATATGACAATTAATCATGGAAACAAAAATTCACAATAAATCATCCATGTTAAACATTGTCTAGATGGTTATTTAGCAGTCCAAGTGCAATCAAATCTGATACGATGACATTTTAAGACATCAAAAGATTTAGTACCAGAATTTACCACTAAGGTATTTTTGGCGCTGCAAGCAACAAAGATTTTATTGAACAACGATTGAACAAGACACTCGAGATACACAGAGACAGACGGATACTGCTTAATCTGGTAGCCATTTTGAAGGTGTAAAACCTGAAAAATTGTGTTGAAAAACCGACTGTCACTTATTTCTCTGTAATGCTTCTAATATGCACTGTGATAATGTCATTCAAGACTACCAAATTTGCAATATTTACTCGATAAACTACACTTTTTAAGTGTCCATCACCAAAATTCAGAGAAAGAAATGACCGGAGGCAATAGGAAACGTGTTCTGTTATGGGTAAAATGACGCAAAAACTGCTGTACAATGTTCGATATGTGAAAGCACTCAATGTTGCATGCAATTAGTTGATTCAAGGCATATTTCATTAAGCATTTCTTCAAAGAAGATTCAAAAAAGATTAAAGGGTGAATGTGACTGTGAATCTAAACCAGTTCCAGAAATTATAATAAATTAGAATGCAGTTGACATACGCCAATGATTAAACGAGTCATGGCATAGAAAACACTAATGCAAACAGAATTGAGAAATATCTAAATTCTCATAAAATATGATATATGAACGACATTATTCTCTTACATTTGATAGGAATGTAATTGATAACTTTATCATTGAGAAAACAGATAACTATCACAAGGCTATTTTCATTTATTTATGCAATAATGCTTAGTTTTTTTTTCCTGTGCTGCATGTAAAGTTTATCAAATATTTCAAATTTGCAAATATATTTAACTTCACTATAAATTTATTATAAAGGATATGGACCGAATACAACTATCACAAGATAACCTCATTATTGAAGATAAAGAATTTCCCAGAGTTATTTCTAAGTTAAATAAAATAATTATCTTAAAAACAAAATGAATCAATAAAGAAATGAATTATAAATATAAAATTGATTCCGTACTGTAACCCCGATTATCTCCTCACCCCCTCGATCTTTAACCACCAAAATTTAATAGCATCAATCCCCCTAATACGCAAACTTCCCTGCAAAATTTCAGAAATTTTCGACAAAAAGTACAAGAGTTATTAAGCTTCAAACAAGGTGAACGAAATCGTGCCCTTTTCAGATACACCAACAAACATCCATACATACAGAAAACAACCCCCGAATTTTTTGCATTTCTCGACGTTTCAAGGTGTCCTGAGTCCAAAAAATGTAAAAATCTTCGGAGGGGGGTCATTTTTTTTTGATCGATCGCCATACTTTCCTTCTGTTATATATAACAGAGCGTGAAAGTAAAACGTAAACTAATATAAATAAAATTCTTAAATACTAGAAGAATTTTACCTGAAATATTCTGTCTGAAAGTATTTCTTTCATTTTTGAAAGTATAATTCCTCCAAGAAGTATTAATGTCACGCCAATAATTCCTAAACTAGTTACATACATATACAACCGTTTCTTTGCTATTACTGCCATGTTGAAAGAGGCACGCCACTTCACCGAATGCAACTTCCACCCCCTTCGGACAGATAAAACTCGGGTCAGATGACCAATAGATTTGATAAACATCTTTCACTCAATGTCATTTCCATTAGTACCGGAGTCATTTTTTTTATTTTCTATTTTTTCTTAAATTATCCCCATTTTCGGATAGAACGTAAAGATCCTTGTATAAGTTACTTATGAATTTGTATTTTTTTAAAAATCTTTCCACCCTGTGGGCACTAAAAGGGCCTTTTTTTGCCTTTACTTTTAAGCAATCCTATTATGGATTCGGCCAGGTCATAATGGAAGGCCGGGGAATGCTTTCAGGAAAGTCTTTTATAGGAACTGGTACCTGTTTAGGTGTTATTTACAACGTATAGTAACGTCTGAATGGTAAATTACTGTATGGAAATGAACACAATTTTTTATATTTTCGTTATTCATATTTATTATTCTATTATTTCATTTTCTTTTAGAGAATTTATGTAGTTCTAGTTCTAGCCCAGTGCTGAATGCCATCATTGCAACAATCTATGTATCCTTCTTAAACATAATGCAATGCTGCTTAACATAATCTTTATTCTACATAATGCTATGGTGGCAATATGTTGTAGTTACAGAAACAGAATAAGGAGAAAATTAAACCAGAGATGACGACAAAAATGGGATACAGGAAGCCGCTTATGGTGTCTACAAAATTTCAAGAAGAATTATGCGTTTATGCAGCGAGAACTTGCGACTAACTCTCATTTGGGATTAACTCTCATTGCGTTTGAGTTAATATATTATTACATTTTTTAAAGAGGTTGCGGGAGAACAAATAATCTGAAAACTAAGATTCGTTCACTGCTTTGGAGAAACGCCAAGAAATATATTGAAAGTACCTGACCCTACAAGCTTAAACAAAAGCAACAGTTTCAAAAGAGGTTAAATATAACAACATTCGTTAGACAATTTAAAAAATATGTTAGAACAACTCATAGGAAATGACATTTGGAATGTTGACGAAACTGGGACGAGAACTGTACACAAATCATAAAGATTATTTGGCCGAAAGGAGAAAAGATAATAGGTGGAATGACGTCTGCCGAAAGGGGAACAAATGTCACTA